TTTATGTGCTTGCCAGAATCGCTCCACCAGATATTGGGAGAATGGTCACAAGCAAAATAGAATGATTATGATAGGTCAAAGATATCAAACATCCTTAATGGCCACACCATGGCAGTGAGACACCTGAAATTGCGGAAAAGCTTCATAGCTGCAACAGTACTGCTTAAAAAATCACCGATGGCTACACAACAGGAAAATGGCACACTCAGCTCGAAATACTTGGAGGACATCAAAATGCACATCTACATTGCTGAACACCTTCCTGCAGGCATGGAGAAGGATTGGTCAACCTGGAGATATTTAAACCACCTCTGAACAAGAGTTAGCATGTCAAAAGTCAATAGGCGGAAGTGGGGCAACCCCCAGACACCTGACTGCACGAACCCTGGAACATCTGTTGGTTTACCAGCTCCTGGAAGAACTATGCACTATGGAAGATCTCAGCAGGGCTACAGACCAGGCCATATCATGTGTCCGACACTGGAAAACCTAAGATTGTGGTGGAAGAGCATGAGAAGAAGATTTGTTCCAACAAGCCTTTTCTAAATTTATTTTTTCACCAAACTAAGATGGTGAGGCAGTGACTTTGTTAGGTCAGTGAATGGCTTGACTTACACACTCTTTGTTTTCTTTAAGCATAATAAACTCCCTGTATGCCAAGGCAGTATGTGGAATGTAGATGAATATACAGATAAATAAGTGCAACGTATTACTACCATTTAACAATACAGTATTTATGCTTAATTGCATAAACAGGCACAGCCAGAGAACTTCTAAAATACAGGCAAAACTTACTAACAAACCACCGTATTAAAAATCCTGAGACACTAGTCCAGGGTAGGCAACCTAGGTGGCACGCATGCCAAAGGCGGCACACGAGCTGATTTTCAGTGGCACTCACAGTGCCAGGAGTCCTGGTCACCGGTCCAGGGGGCTCTGCATTTTAATTTAATTTTAAATGAAGCTTCTTCAACATTTAAAAAACCTTATTTATTTTACATACAACAATAGTTTAGTTATATATTATAGACTTATTGAAAGAGACCTTCTAAAAACGTTAAAATGTATTACTGGCATGCGAAACCTTAAAATAGAGTGAATAAATGAAGACTTGGCACACCACTTCTGAAAGGTTGCCGACCCCTGCACTAGTCTCACGTTTATTAATTATTATTATTTTATTATGGAATCTGTTTAAATTCCATAACAAAACAAAATACTTTAGTTAGGGGAAAAATCACCCAGTAAGATTCACAAGCTGCCACTGATAAATATAATAAAATATATTTATTGAGCATGGACATCAGTCAAGTCCCTAATGGATCTTTTCCTGGCACTTGTTGCATAAGTATCTGTCACCATGATAAGACAGCTAAGTTCACTTAAAAGGCTCTTTCTGGCTTTGCTTTTAACCCTATCACCTCCCTCTCCTCAGGAAAAAAAATATAATGTGGGGAGAAAGGGGAAGGGAAACCCTTTGTCACCATCCACCAGAAATCACCTCATCTCACTGTACTACATACACCCATCACTGATCAGATCAGTATAAAAACAGGAGGCCAAATCTTGCTCTCAACTAGGCCAATGTAAAGTCAGAGAAATTTCACTGACTTAAACTAAGTTACTTCTGATTTACACTGCGGTAAATGATCTGAATCTGATTTAAATGATCAGGGCAGAATCTGCTCCAGGATGTCCACCAACCTGTGGGAGTCCAATTTTTGGGAGTGGCTGTAAAGTGAGCTACAAAATCGCCAAATTACTGTGGCTGAAATAGATGATTTTTGTGACAGTCTTTGGGCAGGCTCACAGCACAATGGTAAAGCTGTGGCCTGGGATGCATAAATGATATAATAAGCATGCAGCACCAGAGTGATGAACAAACCCTGGGGAAACTAGGAGAGGAGGGAATAAAAAATGCATCCCCTGGTTGCAAACTGAGTAATGTGCTGCTGGTGGGAGGAGTGGAATGGAATCTCTCTCTCTCTGGGCGTTTATACCACCTGGTAGGTGTGTGGAGGGGGGAAGAAGGGGAGTGGGGCTAAAGCCCTTGAACAGGGGGGTCTCTGGGATTGTGCTCCCCAGTAGATTTGTGTAGGCATTTGGGGCGTGTTCCAGTGCCCACTGAAGTCAGTGGAAATACTCCCATTGACTTCAATGGGCTCTGACTCAGGCCCTGGGTGCAGCTGAAAGCTTTACCAACCCAATCCCTGCTCCAGCACTCTCCGGAGAGGTCCTCCCTGTCCCGCCAACGCCAGCACCGCCCGGCTGGGGGAGGAGGAGTTTAGGGCAGGTTTGCAGAGGCAGCAGGTCACTGACTGCCTAAAGGGAGGGAGGGGGAGTTCCAGCCCCAAGCCGCCCCTTCCCCAGAAGTGACTGGCTGCAAGGCTGCTCTCCCCTCCCCCCGAAGGAGGGGCCGCGCGAAGCCATCCAGTGGAGCTCGCACGCGCGCCCCAGCAGCACCTACTTCTTGCAGGGGATGAGCCCCTTTCTCTCCTCCAGGAGCCGGAGGCGCTGGTTGGGGCCGTCGTAAGACACCACCGCCCTGGTGTTCCTGCCGCTGCTGTGGTCGTAGGCCACCGTGCGCCCTTCCCACTGCAGCGGCGCCTGGCACGGGGTGGGCGGCTGCCCCCGCCCCGCGCGGCCCTGCGGGGCGCCCGCCAGCAGAGCCCCGCCATGCAGGCACAGGAGGCCGCCCAGCAGCAGCAGCAGCCGGGGTTGCCCCAAGCAACCGCCGCCTCGCGCCATCCTCGGTGTCTCCTCTGTCAGCGCGAGCCCGGCGCCCTGAGCCCCTCTCCGGAGGCGCTGGTGGGGTGAAGGGGGAGGGGAGCAAGCCGGGTGCTGCTGAGGCGCTGGAGCTGCAGCCGCTCGCTCTCTGGCCCCTTCTGCGTCGCTGACTGGGGAGGCGAAGGCGGGTCTGGCTGACTGCGGCAGCGGCAGGCGCGGAGCCAGGGCCCAGCAAATTCTGCCGAGAGAGACAGGAGCGGGTGCAAAGCTGAGCAAGGGCGGCGGCTGTTTGATCTCCCTCTCTCTCTCTCTCTCCGGCCAGCAGGGACTGCGGAGGCAGAGTGCCGCCTGCAGCCCGCCGGGCATCAATTATTTAAACAACAGACACGATGGGCAAGGATACACACGCCTCCTTCCACCAGCTCCCTCGTCTTCTCTCCCCGATCATGTCACCTCTTCCCTTATACGTTTCCTGCCACAGGCATTGCGTATGGTATAGCCCCGATTCTGTAGCTGGATGAACATCATTTAATACCAGTGCAATAGGAGGGGAGACATCATCTGATGCCAGTGTCATAGTTGGGTAGCAGCATATGATACCAATGCCACAGCTAGGAGCGCTGCACCTGAAGTAGTACTCTGACTAGAAATACTTTTTTAAGCCTTTATTGATAGCTATTTCATATACCTCTTTCTGTTCAGCCCTGTGAGTTTTCTCCTTGAAGGCTTAATTAAGATAAAAGGGAAGCAAACAATATATATGTTAATGCCATTGCTCAGTTTATAATGATCACATATTTCTTATTCAGCAAAAAAAAGTGGGGGTGGGGGACAATACGTGGTTTAAAATACGTTCATGCTCGTGTTCCATATATAAACCAGAATAGGAAAGTAGACACTTTTCAGCAAGGAGCAAAATGGCCACTTGTTTGGGAAGTCTCTTGTTTGCTTGCTTTCCATTTGGGCCTTATATTTTTGGTTTGTCTTTGGCAAGAGCATCTGTGATATGGAATTTGATTTTGAGCAAATCTGATCGCTTTTTCCTCTAAAAAAAAAGAACAGGAGTACTTGTTGCACCTTAGAGACTAACGAATTTATTTGAGCATAAGCTTTCGTGGGCTACAGCGCACTGTGTTTTGTGCGTGTGTGTGATCAAGGGTTCGTATAAGGCAGTGAACGCACACATTTGAGCATACAATTTTTCCTGCACCCCAAACTCCTACTACTCTCAAAGCAAAGCGACTACCTGAAGGACTGGACGCTGCAGACCAATTTTATGATATCGACATATATTCGTGTCGTATTGTTGTGTGTTTGGGGCTCATGGAGGGAGTGAGTTGAAGAATGATCTGCTTAGAGAGACCTCTCTATAATGTTACTTTTAAGGGAAAACATTTCACTTTCCCTGACACTTGCTCTCCAGTCACTAATACGAGCATCCCCTTTCCCTCAAACATATCCGTTCTTCCTCCATTTGCTTTGGAGATTCCTTGACCTAGGTTTATCGTCTTCTGAGCAGTTTCCTAGGAAAGAGGGTGGTGGGAGGCAACATGGGTTACTAAAGCACACACGGAACTAGAGGTCAGGGCGCTGCTGCTGCTACTACAAACAGGAAAGCACATCAACTGAAAATGCACCCTACAAAATAATCTTAATGAGAGGGGATGGGAAATTGCTACGCTAGGAGGACCACAGTCTGCCCTCAGTTACATCCTCGCTATGCCAGAGACTGCAATATGCCATTGCTCTCATCGGAGTTGCACAGTTGAACTGGGGAGAATTTGGTCCCTATTAATCAAGGACGAAATTCAGCTGTTTTAAATAGCTGTAAATCCGGAACAATTCCAGTGAACGCTATGGGGTTACTCCTAAATTACACCGATGTAACCGTAGAATTTAGTCAAATGAAAGCCTCTGGGTTCAGACTAATGAAAGGGACAAAACGACTCGAATGTGAACGGTCTGCACTGTTTTCTAAAACCCTGGCGGCTGCTGGTTTGTGACACAAAGTGCTTTTGAAAAACTTTAAATAATATCGTATCTTTCCCTCCCACCTATTCCTTTGCTGATCCGGTTTATGGGGGGGTGGAGATTTTACTAGGGCGAAGTGGGTAGCTAATGGGATTTCTCATAGCAGCAACAGCAGGTGCAACACGACAATTGGAGCTGTGCACTGAGGTTCACTCCAGGCTCGGATCGGCTGCTGCTGCTGTCCCAGCCAAGTTTGTTTCCAGAAAAAGTAATTGACCAGTTTGTATATTTCATGTTTGTTTTGTGAAGTCTAAGTTTCACATGCCGTATCTACCTCTGGAGCCATTGCAGTAACTGCGTAATAGTTAGAATAGACAGAAATAATAGCAACATTTTTTCAAAGCGGCAAAAGTTTCTGTGCTTTGTCTCTTTGAAAATGTAGGAAAAGGGCATAAAGTTCAGTGCTGCTTAAAAGAGTATCGTCCTTGCTCCTATTGAACTTCCCCTCCCTCTCTCTTAATTCTGCGACTGAATTTGCAGACCCGAGGTAGATGAGGGAAGCGCTTTTTTCTCTCTCTCGTCTTGAAAGAATTTATTGCACAGATCAACACTGAATGGCTTGTTGAAATTTATCTTGAGACGCAATGAGAAATTTAGTGATGTCGCCCTGGGATTAAACCGAATGGAGGTGATGTCACCCTGTCTGAAAAGAAAAACAAACACACACACCAAGTGAACGATGCTGCCAAGAAGAAAGATCAACCCCCACGTCACTTGTGGCACTCGTATAAATATGGCCCTACAATTTCCATGGCTGTCTGTAAGTCTCAGATAGCTTGAACTTTGGAACAAGAGAGGAGCTCTGTGTCTTTTTAGCACTGAGGCACAAGGAAATCTAGAAGTTCATCTTTGCCAGTGGTTTTTATGTGCCAAAGTGATAGGGAACGGGGATAGACTAGCATCTCTTTAGCTCTTTCCACTGAAAGCTGAATGAGCGACAGGATCAGCCTGTGAGACTGATTACCCAAGACTTCGTGAGAGGAAGCAGAGAATCTCCGGAGCGCCAAACGTTAGTCCCGCCGCTAAAGGCTGGGAAAATGCTAGCAACCTTGGCAGCGTTCTTCCTGTGGCTCAGGGTCAGCATGGGGGTGCACGGTGCTCCCTGCGAGGCTGTGCGCATCCCCATGTGCAAGACCATGCCCTGGAACATCACCAGGATGCCCAATCACCTGCACCACAGTACCCAGGAGAATGCCATCCTGGCCATCGAGCAGTATCAGGAGCTGGTGGACATCAGCTGCAGCCAGGTGCTCAGCTTCTTCCTGTGCGCCATGTATGCCCCTATCTGCACCCTGGAGTTCCTCCACGACCCAATCAAGCCCTGCAAATCGGTGTGCCAAAGAGCCCGAGATGGATGCGAGCCCATCATGAAGAGGTACAACCACAGCTGGCCCGAAAGCCTGGCTTGCGATGACCTGCCTGTGTACGACCGAGGGGTCTGCATATCCCCTGAAGCCATAGTCACCGATGTCCCTGAAGGTGAGGAGGGATCAGTGTGTGTGTGTGTGTGTGTGTGGTGGGGGGGGGTACACTAAGGCAGGGCTCATTGGGTAGAGAACCTTGATTATAAGATGGCAATTTTGAATTCAGATTTGTGCCCTTCTTCACCAAGTCTCTGGAAAGCAGAAAGCTTTAGTTAAGTGGGTTCCAAAAGCACAGAGCTCCAGAAGTTCCAGCACTGTGTAGGGCAATCTATCTCTCAGATATAACACAGAGGGACAGGTTTTGGCGAGAACTGCAACTAGTCTCTCGGGTAAATGTTTGTCTTAAAAAAAAAAAGACTTCTCAGCAACAAACAAACCCAAACAAGAAGAGATTGAATTTCCTATGGGCAGGCAGCTTTTCTGAGAACACTGAAAAGCCAATCTGGGCAGAAGGACTCCAATATCCTCTCCAAGTCTCACTGGTGTTACCAGTCAAAACGAGAGATGATTCAGAGTTAGGCATAAGTGAACATTGAATAGTGATGTTTAAGTACGCCTTTCAAATTTAAATGTCAAATTGGCAGTGCAATACACAAAACTACACACCAGGCTTTTGTCCACGAATCGAACTAGCAGCCATACAATGATATATTGCAGATTTTATTCCTTTCTTTTAAACAATTTACAGTGCTGTTAAAAAAAACCAAGTATAAGACCTGATGCAGACATATTTTCGAAAATATAGTGAATCAATGTTTTTTAGGAAAGATTAACTATTTTAAATGCTCCCCAAGATGTGTATGCTACTGAAGTGATTCCGGAAATATCAGAGATGATTTTTTTCGTTTATCTTCTTGTGTTCATTTCTTTTCGGTAGCATAAACCAAATTCTGTGCAAATTTTATTGTGTATGTTTTTAAATAGATGTGAAGTGGATGGATTTTACTCAAGATGTAATGGTGCAAGAAAAACCTCAAGAGTCTAACTGCAAGAATCTAAACCAGGGTGCGTCTTCCTAAAGGTTCCCCTTTATTTCTCTCGAAAATAATTCTGTAATTGACATTAATTTGTAATTTTTCCTTATGATTTTTTTTTGAAGCTCGATGCAAGTGCCGGAAGATAAAGCCTACCCTAACAACATACCTGACCAAAAACTACAGCTACAGTAAGTCAACCAGTGAAATAATTTCATTTTCAACTCTTGGCAAAATTTCCCTAGAATCGCACTATCTTCTGGTTCCCTTCCCCTGGTTCTTTTGATATTATCAAATTATTATAGCTCCTCTACTTGTAATCCATGACAAGCCGCATCGTAGGTTTTAAGATTAAATCAATAAATGAATCATAAAGAATCACTTTTATCTGGCACTTTAAAAGATGTTGCTCCTGAAACCTTATTTTCCCGAAAAACAAGAAACAAATATCTAGAACTAGAATGGTCATTAAAATCGCTAAATTGTTGTAGTATTTTTAGAATACAGACCGGTCTAACAAAACGTAGTGGGACAGAGTGTTCAACAAAAATGGAGATGGCCATGTGAGCCGTTTCTAAATTTTCCTGACGTTGTTTAATGCAACTCAGTCTAGTGACAAGTAACAAAATAGCCGGAGATCCTATGAATTGCAATTTTTATTTTGCCATTTCAGCTGGAATAAATTGGAATCTTGATTGATCAAGTAAGCACTATTGTGCTGTTCTCACTCCATGAAATGAGTTCATGTGAAAACAATGAAATTGGAGAGACATGAAAAGGTTGAAAAGCAACTTTTTTGTTTTATTTAGTCACAAATTAAGTCATAGAATATTTACTATATTTTGCATACTAGCCATTAGAGACCAATGGCCAGATCCTTAACTTATGTAAAAAGCAACATAGAGTCCTGTGGCACCTTATAGACTAACAGATGTATTGGAGCAAAAGCTTTTGTGGGTGAATACCCACTTCGTCAGACACATGTTGCTTTTTACAGATCCAGACTAACATGGCTACCCCTCTGATACTTAACTTATGTAAATTTTCATAGCTCTGTTGAAGTCCATGGAGCGGTGACAACTTACACCAGCTGAGATCTGGCCCATGGGTTTTATTATACAGTGTATGAAATTTTGACAATACAAGTGCCCAGCCACAAAAAGGATTTCTGACCAGAGGAACTCAAAATATTTATTTATAATTTAGTTTTTCTTTCAATTACAAATCTGCATGATTAACAGTGAATGCAAAGTGAGCTATTAATTTAATATGTAATATTATGGTTTACTGCAAGTTTACAGTGACTGTTTCTGGGAGGGATATTATTTTAATTTGGTTATTTTAAACTATGGATATCACACAATAGGCAGTTTAAAAAATGTATTATATTCAATATCAAATTAAAACAAAAATGTTTGGGTACATGCTTAAGTCTTTGTTGTTAAATAATCGTTTAATACAAATTCAGTTTGCTATTAGCAAGACAGTTGTGACATTAACTTTATAAAGCAAACTGTAAATACATTTGTTTTAAATTGTTGCATTTTGATGCACTTTTATGAAACATTAATATTTTCTAATATCTAATTTCCCAATCTATCTCTCTGCAACACACACTACCATTTGATGGAACATTGAGATTCTGCATTGTGTAATATATACATACATCTATACTCTGTGAGTGTATATAAATATGTATGGTAACTTATATTCTGAACTGAAATAGAATTTTTAAAATCATGTTTGGCCCAATCCTGTTTCCATTGACTTCAACAGAAGTGTTGCGTGAAGAAAGACTGCTGGTACTGGTCCTACAATTAAAAGACCTGAAAACACTGCATTCGATTGGCTACGTTTGTATTCAGGATTTTAGCTTTGAGATGCAGGGCCTTATTCTGCCCTCAGTGAAATCAATAGGAGAGTTACCATTTGAAGTGGGATGGGGAGATAATATGGGAGAAAAGTTGAAGTACAAATCCAGTTTTGCTAGAAATCCCCTTTAAATAATATATGCAGTTAACCAATAATTTGTAATGAAAGAGGTGCAGGGGCTCAAGCAATATTTTTAAATTCATAACTGATGCAGTAAGCCAGAGGTGACAGAGCTGTGAACTGCCAAGCCTAGAGGTGCTGGGACTCAGTGCTGGCAAGTCCTGGCACAAATTAAGCACTGCAACTAACTCATTCTTCCAGTTGATTGTGGGTACTGTTCAGCTGTAAATACAAAAGAATCACTGATGGTTATCTGGGTTTAGCTATGATATTATAGCTTATTTTGTAAACAGTTCCCAACAACAATCATGTTTTATAGTAAGTCTATATGAAGTCTTCACCTTTTTAATTGTAAAGCAAATTTCCAACTAAAAATTCATGTAAAGATTATGGGTAGACATTTTCAAAAGCATCTAAGTTACATAGGACCCTAAATCCCATAATGTTTCAGTAACTTTCGAAAATGGGACATAGACTGTTAAGTCACTTAAATGCTTTTGATAATGTCACCAATATCCCTAAAACACCATGTGGATGCTACAGATTTTGATATAGTTACTGTTAACACAGATAGCACAGATTGTGTTATAGCTACTGTTCTCAATAGATATTATTCCTTCTATATGTGAAACCTTACTATATTTCTAGAATTTGCTAGTTACTAATGTTGTTTATTGAAGATGGAATTAAAAATGTTAAAAAAGAAATTGTAGACACAGCTCAGGTATAGGATGTGCCGCTGATCAGGTGTGTCCTTTGAGAGTAATGAGTGGCCCTTTCTTAAATCCACGTAGGTGTATAGTTTTCTTCAGGATGTTTAGCACTCCAGAGCCCAAATACAATCTTAATTTCTCCTTTATATAGTTAGGTAACAAGAGTCAATGGATATTGTATCTGGATCTCTATTCTGTGTAAAATCCACAGTTGAGATACCACTTTTAAACCAGTTTCTCAAAGACTTTTATTTGAAGGAAGACAGTATAAACTATATACATTGTGAAAACCTTATCCTATTAATTTTTCAGCTTTTTATTTAAAATCATAGTTTTTTCAGTGTGTTTGATGTAATTAATTTACACCTGGAAAACGTATTCAGTGTCTAGATTACATCTAGACATCAGTAGTTTAAATGGTTTATTATTTAAAACAGTGTGGATTTCATGGTAAATCTTTATGACAAATATTTTTAGCTAATCATAAATAATAACATGTAGGGACTGAAAAAACAACTTTTACTCATATGAATAGTTCTTATTAATTTATATTATAATTGTCCTTGCATATATATTTTCCTACTTGCAGTTATTCATGCTAAAGTAAAGGGTGTAGAGAGAGGTAGCTGCAATGAAATAACTACAGTGGTTGACGTGAAAGAGATACTTAAATCTTCAATACCCATTCCTCGGTCTCAAGTGCCTCTTCTTACTAATTCATCCTGCCAGTGTCCACATCTTCTCCCAAATCAAGATGTTCTCATTATGTGTTATGAAAGGCATTCAAGGTAAGCAATTACAATGCAGTGCAGAAATTTACTGTAGTCAAATTTAATAGAAAGCAGGCAAGCAAGCAAGAAAGTAAAGGCCATTTTCTCTGTTCAGAAGCAAATGTGAACCTAGTGCCGAGTTTAATTCCCCTGATTAGTATCCCATACACAGTTCAGGGGAATATATATAAATATTCTATTACTTTTACAAGTCCATGGCTTCAGGTAGCAACATTAACATTTCAAAATTCACTTACACATTTCATAAGCAACCTGAACTCTGACCTACAACACATACTTACAAACTTTGATGTGTACATGGAAACGAGACTCAGACATGTAGCATGGTAAAATGTGGCCACGGCAACTTTATCTGAAGTTATTGCCCCACTGGGCTAACCACCCCAAACTACCCGGCAGGAACTAGTTAGAGAAAAACAGTGAAAGGTCACCATCTGCTTTTTTATTACTGTGGAAAACCAAGCTAATTACCAAATATGCTGTGAATGATTTGGAAAGTTCATTGAGGTTTTTATTTTCATATGCTCTACTAAAATGGATTCGAAAAAACTGTTATATGTTTCCTGTTGAACTCAGTTGTATGTAAACAGAAGGTTTTGCATTACAGTGGCTTTTTAAAATGTCAGAAGTCACAACTGGTAAAATCCTGTCTCCATTGAAGTTGATGACAAACACCTATTGATTTAATTGGAATCAGGATTTCACCCAATAACTAGTTTTGAGCCAAAGTGACATCAGCACTGAAGGAAATATCACATTGTGATTTCATTTATAATGATTTCCCCTTCAGTTTAATGCTACTATTTTTTCTATAGTCAATACTAGAGGAGGGAAGGAGTGGTCTATAATACTGGCCAGATTCTCCACTGCGTTGCTATCTGTGTAGTCATTTACATCTCTGCAAAGTGGGTGTAAAATGCTACCAACTCCGCATGGTACCATTTTATACTCACTTTGCACTGTGTACATGACTACCTAGGGTGCAAGGCAGTGCAGACTCAGGCCCTATATTAGGTAGTGCAGATCCCCGATTGGCAGTTAAATGTCATATGGAATCAGGCGTATTTATATCAGTGTTTTGCTTTCTTCGGCTGATTAGTGCGTGCATCTTAATTGATATCTGCAAAGTTTGGAAAATTATTGCAGTGCCTCGACCAGTCAATTGATTTAAGGTCCGATATCTCATGATCAATGAGGGTCTGAAATGTGTGCTTTATAGCATGGAGGTTTGGAAATCCCAGTCTCCGAGTGAGACAACAACACGTTTCTAGTTTGTGAGATGTCAGACCTTAAAACTGTGACATTATGATTTTTAGATTAAATTATTTTAAGCTTTTGTTAGAAGCTTCCAGCATTCTGTAGTTACAATTTTATTTTTCTCATTCTGAGTCCTGTACTATAGCACTCTTGTATTATGGCCAGCCAGCTTTACAGGGGGAAAAAAATTCAAATACTAGTAGCTGAAAGCCTGTGCTGTTGCATGGGTGTGGCATTTGGGTCAAGTAGTCCACCATCTGTGCAGTCTCCCTCATACAACCAATGAAATTCTTGCATGCAAATTAGCAGCTGGTAATTGATTGAGTTATCTCTGATATCACAATACTCTAGGATTCTTAGCATGGCATAAATACATGCCTTACTATGGCTGTACACTACGTGGGTGTAATTCATAAAATCAACATGGCTGAGAGCTTAAAAACTGAACGGTAACAGACAGCAAATCCCAGTGATGATTGAACCTGGAGATCAGGGCTTAAATTCAGTTGGAGCTGTCTGGAGCAGAATGCTGGTAAATGTTTTCAACCCCCCTGGAGTGTTTATTGCATGTTGAGCTGGGGTTGGGGGGCTCCTGGAAATAGTCTATAAGAATTTAAGCCCTGCTGGAGATATTCTGAAAAAAAGCTGTCAACCATGCTTGTAGCTGTTTCCATTACTTCAGACTGACTCAACAGACATTCTAGGCTGCAGAGTGACATGCAGTTATGCAAGACAAACAAAATGTAAGATTGGACAGTGTGGTATACAATTATTATACCTGCATGACTCATTTGTGGTTAGGGACATGGGAGTATTAACATTGTCCTACTGGATCAAACCAGTGGCCCATCTAAACTATTATTCTGTGTCTGATAGTGGCCTTTACCAGCTGCTTCAGAGGATTATGTTTCTCATGAGTAATACAATTGTCATAAATAAGTGCCAATGAAATCGTTATACCACAGTGTATAATCATATGTACTCTTTCTCCTGGTGACATTTCCCAGCTGGAGTTACAGCAGAAGCCCCTCTCTGTCACTGTGTGATAGAGCCACTGGAGCCACATAAGTTCATATCTGACTGCCTTTCCTCTAGCCCAACCCACCACGGTCCTCGGCTGCAGCCTGTGTTGGACCAGCATAGAGACCCTCTCTGTCTGGCAGTGGGGGTATGGAGGCATTCAGTTTCTGCCCAGCAAATGTCCCAGTGAGAGACTAAAATGATTGGGCCTTGTGCTGTCCTTCACAATACAGATATAGTTAGAGAGAGAGAGATAAATTAAATGGAGTGTCATGGGACATGCTACCCAACCCATCGTTCTTCTTTATACCTGGTGAAGCTGGGGTATCTTTCACCTACAGCACTATTGCAGGTAAGGACACAGATCCTGAAGTGTTTCATAGGCACCAGCACAATGCCTATGTTGTATGGGTTGTAAACATGTCAGGGAAACGTTGATATTTTTTAAAACAATGTTTTCATTCTAATTTAAAAATTAATATATGGAAACATTTCTGTTGGTCTTAGGTTTTGTAAAAGTTTATTTGTAGAAAACTTAAATTTGGGGTCATTTTGACCTGACCGGTTCCCTTTGGAAAATATTTCTTGTCTACGGTAAATCAACTGGAATGATGACTAAGCATACAAAATCAGGGATCATATCTTTTAGTTACCGGGTATATATGAAACTAGCTATAGCTCACATTTTCATCTTTTAAAAATTTTAGGTTGATGCTTCTTGATGGATGTTTAGTTGAAAAATGGAAGGATCAGCTAGATAAAAGATATAAGGTAAGTATAACCAATTAAAGTAATTCTTACATTCTTAATAGAAAGTCAGCCATCAAAATCTATTTGACACCTAAATAAATGACCTGAATTTCAGAGATATTGAGCAGTGGCAGCTACTACTGTCTTCAGTGAAGGTGTTTAGCACCACTGTAAGTCAGGACTTCTATTTAGATGACTATTTAGATGACTTCTGCTTAGATGACTAAACTTAAGTGTGTAAGTTTGACTATTTTGGCCTTAAATTTTGGAGAGGGTCTCTCATGGTGAGACATTTATATGTTTATAATTTTCTTAGACAAAAACAATTTTTATAACAAACATATATAAACATTTAATCTATAAACATTTAATAAAAATCTAAACTATTTCAAATATATAAATGTTTTGTTAGTGTTCTTTTCTTAAACACTGATTTGTTACAACAATGAACTTGTGAATTATTTTCATATAGTTGCTAATGCATTAACCTATGAATGATAACCTATCATTGTTAAGTATACAGTGCTCATTACAAAGTGAATATGAGAGTAAGGCCAAATCCTGTTGCACTGAATAAAGCCAATGTAAACAGGCTTTGATCCATTTAGAAACATTGCAGGACTGAGGCATGGACTCCTACGCACCAAGGTCCCTACCCAAAGTCTACTGAACTCATTGGGAGTTGCCCCATTGATTTCAATGGGCTGGGGACTTGACCTTAACTGGCCTGGATGCCTGTGCAGCTACAATGTACCTCCTTCAGCATGGGGAGGTAGACATAGCGCACTTTTCCCTGACTTTACAAGGTCACTGACCACCACCCCCGGCCTGCTCACAAATCTTCCTGTAAGTCCCAGTGCAGAGATCCACCATGGATAGGGTGTTATGGAATCCTGATTCAGCTGTGCTCAACATGGAGCCTGAGCACATTAGAAATTGGAGGCAGGATTTGCCTCTTAGTTCTGAAAAAAGTTTGCAAAGAATTAAATAATGGGCTGAGATCATACATTTTTTTTTTGCTTTTAATTATTGGCTGGCTGGAGAATGCCAGGGAGGAGAGAAAGAAGGCTCATTTTTCACTAAAGAAGCTTTTAAGTTACCAATCAACTCTTTGAGGCAGCTGTGTGTCTGCTACATTTTATTATTCTTTTTCTCCAGTCCTTTGACTACCTATGAAATGGGGAAACACACTTTAGAAAGAGTCTTAAAGAAAAGGAAATGAGAAAAAAGTAAAACTACATTATAATAGCAATAAGGCAGCACAGGCTGTGATTTATGGAAATATTAACATATGACTTGGGCATTTGAAAACACTTAGCCTTTAACCTCATGCCTCCTCTCTGACCCATGGTGTGATTTAATGGCCTTCAGATAGCACCTTTGTCATGTCTGAATACATAATTAGACATCTCAAAACCTGCTTAAACAATAATTTAGACCACTAAATGTTTCATGGATATCTTACAAGTTGTGGTGCTTATTCACTGTATTTTGTTCAGAGATTCGTATGTTTTTGTCCAGAGTACAGGTAATAATCACCATTTAAACCTGTTGCTTTTAAATATGATAACCCTAAGTACCAACTGGTACTTTTGATGTTGTTTAATGGTTGTATGCGGTTCTTCTTGAATAACACAAGACTCTGTCACTCTGCAACACTTCACAGGGCTGATGCTAGATATTTCATCAACGCTAGGCAAAACTGCACACACATTGTCCTTCAGAGGTGTCACATTGTACCCCTAAAAATTTAGTGGCTTAGGTGATCATCTAGCTGGCTTATTGCTAACATCAGCCCTGTTATTTCTAGTCTAGTGAAAAGATTAATCCATAAATTAAATACAACTTTCCTATATGGTGATATGTTTCCATATATCATGTGTGTATATATATATATATATATATATATATATATACTTTTAAAGGATAGGCTGCTCTCCACTTAGCTGAAAAAATAGGCCAAGGAGGCGTGTTTTGTAAGT